AATGGCCACATGAATTTAAACCTTGTCAAGTTTAATTTAAAACCCCCTGTTGGTTGGTAATGCCACACGAATTTTGCCTTTACAGTATACGAACTATCGGTCTGATAGTGTCGAAATACAGTCAGCCGCCCTCTATTTTCAATGTGTTTACATCTTTTAAGAAAGAAAGATGAGAAGGCTCCAAAAAAAGCATTCTTTTTGACCATGATGACGTCATCAAAATAAAAAATAAAGGGACACGTCCGAAAGAGAACTGATTTAGCTATAACATACTCACAGGTGGGAGACAATCAATCAAGATAAGCGAGTACATTCAAAGGAGTATATAAAGTAATAACGAAATAAATAAAAATTTTTTCTTAATTCAAATGAAAATATGATGACGTCACAATGTCCGATCAGCCAATATGATCTATAAAATCGTATCTACAACTCATGTGCTTTCAGAATATGTAATAAAAATTGGGGGTCACCTTTCATCCTATGGAGCTATAAGTGATTAAAAATATTCATGGTTTTATGCATTTGTAAATGTTGACGCACGCGTACGCGCACGTTAAGTCGCGAGAACGGAAAATTAAGGTACCTGACATTCAACCTTGACCTGAAGATTATGCTCACTTAATATGATTCAGAAATGACGAATGGTTAAGATGATATGGGCTCATCAACGTTTTGAAAAAAGAAAGATGTGGGGGTCAGAAAAAAACAATTTTTTTGACCATGATGACGTCATCAAAATGTAAAAAGAAGTCAAATATATGAAAGAGAATTGTCTCAGCTATAACATACTCAAAGTTGGAAGACGATCGATTAAGGATAAGCGAGATACGCTCAAATGCGTATTTTCAAAAATGACATCATAGCTATAATTCACTTTCTTTGAATCAGATGCCAATATGATGACGTCACAATGTCCGATCAGCCATTTTGATCTATAAAATCATATTTACAACTTATGTGCTTTCAGAATATGTAATAAAAGTTGGGGGTCACCTTTCAACCTAAGGAGCTATAACTGATTAAAAATAGGTCTGATTTTAGCATAATTTCACTGTATAGCGGCACAAATACGCGCAAAGCTACCTATGTTTGATGCGCACGTACGGTATTGCTATTGACCAAAAGATGACCAAAAGAATGCAAATTTGTGAAAACAATGTCAGGAACCCAAAATATGTAAAATAACGTAATTTCTAGCTTTCGTACGTGCTGCGCACATAAAAATGCGCGCGCGTAGTGGAAAATTTCAAAAAAATTTGAAATGCTCAAAATGGCCTAAAACGTGCTCTAGTTTATTGAAAAAGTAATTTTAAGCATTTTGAAAATTTGACGCGCGCGTATTGAAGTGACCGCGTCAAATTAGGGTACAGTACATTCAACATTAACCCGAAATTAATGCTCACTTAATACGATTTCGAAATGGCAATTGGTTAGGCTGATATTATCGATAATGTAAAAACGCAAAATTGCGCGTAGATGACGTCACGCATGACTGAGCGCGTTGAAAAGCTTACCATGACTATTCTAGACCAAGCCAAATGTTCGCTGACAGCGATTGTGCGTAACTCGTGGCAGTTTTGGAGATATCGTGCGAACAGAAAAGGGGAGAAAGAAAGAATTAAAAAAAGATGAAGATGATGATGATGATCCTGACAATAACAAGAGGTGATCCGCTAGTGTAGCGGATCACCAAATATTCAACCACCTATTATATATCATGTATATATTTCCACTGTGTTAAATACTGCAATTTTGTTACTACAGGGATCGGAATGGAGAAAGTACAAATCATCATATCCTCCACAGTGTTGTAAATTCATTTGTAGAAGTCGAAAAGTACAAGAAAAAGCAGCAGTTGAAAGTGAGTATTTCTAGAAATCTATCATTGAGCTTTTTTTTTGAGTTTTGTACAAAATCCTCATGTCAGTAGGGGTTTAGCCAGAACTGTCCAACATGGAAGCCAGTGGGTGTAGCACTGAGCCGAAGAGCAGCCCACGTCCACTCGGGGCCACGCCCCTTCCCAAACATAAGGGAAAAAATAGAAAATTATTATCTTTAGAGGATTTAAATGTTGGAATTTTGTTTTCATAGGAATAGTGTTCAATGTTTAGGTATAAATGTTCTTAACACGATGCGTGTTGTAAGTGAACTTTTCACCGGGCAGGCAATGGTTAAGCCTTACATTTTTGGGAATCCCCACCGAATTACCTTAACCTTAACGCTCTCCTGTCCTCTGACTGGACATTGAGGCTTCAAGAATCATCATCTTTTACTTTTTCCTGTCTTTCGCCATTACTGCTGCATTCTTCCAACTGATATTTGTACGAATACATTGTACATTCAATCAATAAAGGTTGTTTTTAATCAAAAGTAAATACGATTTAGCTTTAGTTTAATGGAACACTCAATAGATTTGAAGAATATAAAGAATTTGCTAAAGGTAGACCAGGCCCAATTAGGCTAAGCCGAGCTGATTAGGCAAAGCTGTCAAGGTAAAAGTGGCCGTCCTAAATAATTGTAGGCCGTCCAAAAGACGGCGGGATGGCTCACTGGCTAAGCCTATGCATGTCAGTAATATTATGATGATCATGTAATGACAAAAACCATGGTTATATGATGCTGGGCTGATAATTAAATTTTCCAGGGTTGTTACAGGAAGTTTATGTAAGTGTCTCCCTCACCATAGATTTTTTAAATTATTTATTGGACAAACTAGTCAACCTGCAGTGCACAAGAAAAAAAAAGGGGGTTCATTCAGCGTAATTGGATATAGTAAGTACAAATCCTCCACCAGAAATATCTTTTGAAAGCATTTCATTTTTTTGAACAGCTGTACCAAGATATTTTTGAGGAGAAATTCCTAGAGGAAACAGGACAGTACTATAAACTAGAAGCAGCAAAGCTACTACAGGAATGCAATTGTTCACAGTACATGGAAAAGGTATGTTGAGGCCACAGGAAATTAATGATATGGATCTTGTCAGAAGTGTTGACGAGAACCATGTAATATATTTTCCAACAAATGCACATATTTATGTACATATTACACCATAGGTCGTTCTTTGTTAAACCACGCCCACCTACGCAGTGGTAAAATCCTACTTAACGAAGACGACCAGTCGAATAGAAAACTGAACACAAATGTTGTTTGCTAAACTTACCAATCGGCCATGTTCATTTTGTTCACGTGGATAACTTATTAACGCACTCTGGTTTAAGTTAATTTTTGTTGTCAATGAAGGCTATTTTACGAACCAGTCAAATAACAATAATAACAAAAAATTATAGTCAACGAAATGAACCAGTCAAATAAGCCCATTGTTTCGTTTTGACCTTAGCAACCATATCCAAGGGGCGTGGCTTAGTGGGAAGGTTCATTCCATCCTTGCGTTTTAGCTGGAAGGCTGTAATGCATGTTTATAGTAGCTCACTGTTTCCTGATGGGATGTTTAAGTCGTTTGAAGTATTGAATTGCATTGATCAACAGAGACAAATTTTCTTTAGTGTTTTAACTCCTACCCCCATGCTTTATCCTTTTCAATGTTTACTCTATACTTACTGAGGTCCACTAACATGCTACTTGGTAGGTTCTAACAAGGCTAGGGGAAGAAACGATAAGAAGTCGTAAATTTCTACATCCAAGTTCCTATCCAACTGTCACGCATGAGTTCCAGCAACGAATGGTGGCGGATCACATGAAATTCCTACACAGTGAATGCAGGGATAAAGTGCGAGAGGACTCTAAGCAAGGTAAGATAATCACATTTAGCATTTGGCGATTATTATTATTAAATCTATATTCTCTTGCAATTTGCTACCCCAGTTATTATTTACAGAATCAGTCATACCCAGTAGTTCCCAATTTATATTTCACTATTTTTGCCCTTTTGGAACTTGACATATTATCACTCAGGGGTTAGTTAAAGAAAGAGAAACATGTACTGTACATATCAAAAGAAGGAGTGTTTAGTGAGTGTTATCTTTATCTAGCCTAGTCCTACACTAAGGAGTGGTTGATGCAGCTGTTTGTGGTTCTATTTCTTGACCTGGATATCAATGGTTAATCCCTAACTGCATTTCAAATGTGTCTTTTTTTCTAGACATATATTTGTTTTTCTCCAACCAGCATAGCAAGGGAAGATAAACTGACTTGTTGCAAGGGAGGAGTGGCGATTTTCCCACAGTATTGAACAGTCTGGTCCAAACATCAAGGAAATGTAGATGGGTACTCCAGCCTGTTAGGTTAAAGCTCCAATTTCCCTGTTTACTGTACGTAGAAACAAGGGGCAAACTATAAACTGAATTCAAGCAGTTGTATATAAAAAAAGACATATCATCAAACATTTGTCTATTTTCAAGTGATGAGCAAGTTCTTGAATTTGTACTACAGTAGTAATATGTTGAGTCTACATGGGAGAAAATAAATTGTTAACTGAACAATATTTTTGTTTATAGACCTAGCAAGAATGTATGAATTACTACGGCCTGTCTCCAATGGTCTTGGTATTATGGTACAGGAACTGGAAGTTCACATTAAAGAAACTGGTAAGAAAAAGGAAATGTTTTCAACTTATGCATATTATAATGGAAAGAAAATCTTTAAAATGATTTTGGAAACTTAAAACAATTAGGATTAAAACATTTATAATTGCTCAATTGTTTTATTATACAGGTTTAGCTGCTGTTTCAAATCTCAAGAGAGAGAATGTAAGTTCCTATTGTACAATTTTTATCTTTATTGTTATTCAGAAAGCTTTAAAAAATGGGACAGTAAAAATACAATAATACACGGAATTATAATTGACAAACATAAGGCAACAATAAATTACAATATGTAAAGGAAAAACAAAATTGATGTGCAAGAAAATACAAAGACAGTTGTATGGGTTGGATTGGATTTATTCAATGTGGTACACATCAAAGATAACCCACGAAAGTCTGAAGAAGACTTATTTCCAGTGGGGTCCTTCTTAGGCTACGTTCAGCCCTGAGAAATACGCCAGGCGTATCTAACGCCGGTCGTATGTTAATCCATGGCGTAACTAGTGAGATGTCTAGACTAGGCGATTAATGAATGCCAGCGTAAATAATCGCGCGAAATATTCGTATTCGTAATTCGCGCATTTTATTTTTCGTTTACATCTAGATTTATTTTGATTGGTCAAATCTTGGCTGAGCTCAAAATCACTGATGCGTGACTGTCGTAAATCAGTGGCGTACGCTAATCTGGGGTCTGTTGCTGGATTACCGTACGCCAGTGATTGCGTGATACTGGCGTTCGCTAGTATGCCACGCACAAGTTCACACCACTCGATTAACGTTACGCTAGCGTAAGTTGCTGTGTCTGAACATAACCTTAGTGGTGAATTGGGCAGTACAAGACAATCCCTTGTTCTTTTCCAAGAGTGTACTGCGTTCTTTAACATGTACATGGGCCATAATGCACACGGCTTAAGCATCTCATCTGAAAGACGGTGCGCTATCGTAACTTGCATTTCAGCCCTCTAGCAGATATACAAGGAGAGCAGCAATGGGAATTGAACCAGAGACCAAGAGATCTCCACGGTTCAGCGCATAATAAGGACATTAAATTAATATATTGGTATGAAATTCATTGGCGCGAGTTTCACAAGTACTTTAAGGACTGCAGGGATGTCACTCATAAAAACAAAAATGTAATTTATGTTTATTTGTTGATTGACAAATTGAATACCTAGTAAATATATTTTTTTGCTTGTTCTCAGATCCCATCTCAGTTTGTGGAGTCCATTCAAGCTGTACATAAGAAGTTTTTAGAAATGATAAAAGACACCCTTGGAAATGACCAGGCATTCACTAAGGCTCTTGACAAGGTATGATAATTGGTTGTTTTTTAAAGACGAGCATTTGCGGCATGCCATTCCAAAACCTGCATACAGTCGTTAATTGTTAAACTTAGTAATGAGCATAAGAATTTGGTATTGTATACTTTACTACAGAGAAGCTGTAATAATTTTACTCATAACTTTGGCAATAGTAATTCGATTCCAGTGAATAACCAATCATTTTAAAGCTTACAGTGTGAAGAATATGAATATATTGAAAGGTCAATTTTCATTGTTTTGGTCACTGGTGCTGGTTTTGGGATGGCAAGCCTCATTTATGCCTATGTTATCATCATGGTCTTCTTCCATTAGCAAACATGACACTTTCTACAGTTTGATCTGCACTGTTTTGGGTTGAATAATTCTGGTGATTCTAGTACTGTACTTTTGTGTAATAAGTCAATTACAGACTTAACCCCTCACGCCACCCTCCCCTAAGATAGTTAGTTAAAAACACATTTTGGGAGGTGGGGGGTTGTGATTTAATGAGCTTACCCACCTCATCTTATATTCTTTTGTTGGGTGTGGTGATACTCAGTGGCAGTTGACTTCTGGGAGGCAATTTTAAAACATGTAAAACAGGCAGACATTCTGAATTTGTGGAATGGTGGACTGGCATGAGGGTTTTTTTTTTCATGAGAATGCAGGAGACTGCTATTTTCCTGGAGGCTTCGGCAACTTGCAAGAGACATTGGAGGCCTGTAGAAAGGCATCCTTTTCAGGTTTTTAATCCCTGGGGTATAATTGTGTGTGTTTCTTTTTCTAGGCCTGTACCGCAATTGTGAATCATAAGCAAAGTCCACAGGAAGTATGCAGATCACCGGAGCTAGTAAGTGTATAGGATGCTACTTAGTGAAATGTCATTAATAGTATTAATATTTATTATTATTACTAGTAGTAGTATTGTTGTATATTATTTGTATTATATTTATTATTATTTTAATGTGTATCTTAATGCTTGCGGTATATTTTTATTATGCTTATTAATATTATCATTAATATTATTGTTGTTACCCTCTCCCTGGGAGAGTATGTATTCGTCCTTGTTTTTCTGTCTGTCTGTCTGCCTCTCTGTCTGGATTATGAAAACATTTTGAATGGATCATTATAACATTTAGTGGAGTGGTACATATTGATCTAAGAATGAGGTGGTTAAATTTTGGGGTGAAAAGGTTAGAGGAAAAGTTCAAGGTCACAGAAATTTGTAAAAAATTCTGAAACTTACCCCTCCAGCATAAATGAAAATAATGAAATCACTTGTTTTCACCTGCGTTTATTATTTGGTTATTCAGGCAGATGTATGCATTATATGGAGTGACTGATTATTTTCATTTGCTACTATTTATTTTCTATTATTATTATTTTGACATGTTTTATACCTTGCAGCTTGCTAAATATGCAGACTCACTACTTAAGAAGAGTTCAAAGGGATTTCATGAATCCGACATTGAAGATAAACTTACACAATGTATCATTGTATTTAGGTATATCGATGAAAAGGATGTCTTCCAAAAGGTAAGACAACTTGACGTAGTATTTAGAGCCTTAAGACATGTACAGCTATACATGCTCTGTGAAAAATATAAGGTGTGCGTATGTATTTGTCTGCTTGTATATTGTTTTGTTTTCAAAAGCATTAGGTTGTTATTTAAAGAATTTTAAGCCATTTTTAGACAGAGGCTCTGGCAATATTGGGGTAATAACACTGTTACACTTACTGGCAAAAACCATTCATTACCAACCAAATTGCAGTAATATTGCTGTAAGAATTCTGTAAGAATGAAACCCACACACTGAGGGAGCCTCTGGTTAATCTTTTCAGTCACAGGCTGAGGATGTCCTTTATTGTTATTGTTTTTAGAAAATTGTGCTAAATGCAAAGTATAGTAGGCCTAAATATCACAATGGTAAGGCTTATGGTAATTATTGATGAATGTAAACTGTGTAGACCTCGATCAGATTGATAAATGCTTTAAATTTATATAGGCCTAATTAAGGAAGAAATATTTTATTTTTGGAGATTTCAGGTGAGAGGAGGGCATAATAAAAATTTATTTTAAAAATATGATTTTTTAAAATAAAATTTCCATTTTTTGTAGCTGCAGATGTGCACCAACTGGACAAAAATAACATTTTATTTTTTATTAGAAATCATCATTATTTGCAGTCAGAGGGTTCCCTAAACATTGTATAAAAAGTCCCACTTAAGGAGTAATATTGCGGGATTCTGACCAGCTTTAGTTTCAGACACGCTAGAATGCACCGTAACAGCAATATTGCGTAATAGTACTAGGTTTGAGATGGAACGCTGCATAACCCCAAATTGCGGTTGCGGTTAGCCCTGACCTATTCATACAGATGGCAATGCCAGGAAGATTCCCGCAATATTTCGGTAATGTAGCGCCGCCTGAAAGTGTACAGTGATGTTCATATTAACCCAATTGATTCTACCATTTTGTGGTTATTTTTTTTTCTTATAGTTTTATGCTAGAATGCTGGCTAAGAGGCTTATACATGGTCTTTCTATGTCCATGGATTTGGAAGAAGCAATGATAAATAGACTAAAGGTAAAATATAATGTTAATAATATAAGTAGTAACTAGCATTAGCATATTTAATCCAACAAAGAACTATAAGCAATATCAGTGGATGGTAACTTAGGTAGGGCCACTGGTTTCTAACCCTAGGTACCCTGGAAGATGGATGAACCTTAGTACTGTGAAAGTGTCCAACAACATCTGCCTCTAATTATTGACATGTCGACAAAGACGCGAAGCCCCGCCCACAAAGTCACGAAAACCTTAGACAATGGCGGCTAGATTTACCGAGTTGGCGAAGATTTTCTTTGCTATCAACCTTCTTTAAGAAAGAGAATTCAGAGTAGGCGGTATGCAAATGAATCATATATTCATAGTGTTAATCTATTTCATGAAACATGGCGGGGAAATTGTTGTAAAAGCCTCTGTATTTCGCATTATTCCCACAGCAAGCATGTGGCTACGAGTTCACAAATAAATTACACCGCATGTTCACAGACATGACTGTTAGTGAGGACCTCATTGCAAAGTTTACTGACTATTGTAAACAGAAAAACACAGACTTAAATATCAATTTCTCCATTTATGTCTTAACGGTAAGTAAACATTTTTCTTCATGGACACATTTTATTAATTAGCAATGAAAATGTAACGTTTCTACAAGTAAGTGAATGTAGAAAAACATGTTTTATTATTGTTTCAATTTTTTGTAATATGGGGTTTTTTTCTAGTTCCCGTAGACACTTAGTTATTGTCCCACTTGTAAGTTGTGAGAGTACAATACAGTACAATACAATACAATATAGTTTATTCGCAACTAAAAACAGGTGAATTGCACATACATAAAAATCATGTCTTAAAATTTAAAATATCTAAGCGTAGACAAAAATGACAGTAAAAATATGAACAGGTGGGTTTGAGAGGCTAAAGCAAAGAGTGTAGAATTGAAAGATCTGACTGTTGAGGTTTCTTTGAAACAGAATCCTGTCTCAAGCAGTAGACACTTGCTGCTACTGGGATCCTAGTTTATTTTGATTTCTGGACTTCTGTGGCCACCAGAATATTCTGTCATATAAAATGTTGTGCCTACATTGTTTTGTGTTATTCATTCTTAGGCTGGTGCATGGCCATTAGGACAGACAGCACCTTCAAATTTTGCCATACCTCAAGAATTAGAAAAAAGTGTTAACAGTGTAAGTATATTTTATATTTCCGATTTTATTGTAAACAAAATTGCTTTCAGCCATTGGCTGTTGCATTTCTTGTATACCAAAATAAATAAAAATTTGAAATATATTATCCATATTTTATCATGGTTGTAGCTAATGAAAACTAAGGGTAGGGATAGATATTTTGAGGGTGGGTGTGTGATAACATATTTAAACTCTAGATAATACGAGTGGATATTAATATGGCCTCACTCCGGCCATATTTCGACCTGCGCTTCCATTAAAAAAGTGGAAATTTCAGGCCTGCCGCCGATGTAAATCTCTTAATAAGAAGTCTGTATTTCTTCCTCACAAATAAAGCATTTATCAATAAAATTACTTAACTGTTGGCATCATAACCTTAATTTTTTATGAGCATGCAATACCAGGAATTTTTCGAGTGAGGGAAATTTCTATTACTGTTTTACCTCAGACACTCAATAACATTTTACTTTTATTTTCATCACTGCTTAGATACTTTTATTATTGATATTTTGTTAAATGAGAAACAAACTTTAATTTTTATTCTGCCCTCTTTTGATGATAGTTCAAAAATGAATTTTGCTAAAGAAGGTATTTTAAAAGTCTTGCCTGTATACAGTAATTATAAAGTAAGAAATTTAAAAATAAAATAATGTTCAAGATTATATGCTTAAGATAGAAATTGAGAATATTATTATTTGTATTATTAACGTATCAAACTTCACATTATCACTGGCTTACAAAAGCAAATAAAGCTATTAAGGTTAAATCATATCCCTCATTATTCTCCAGTTTGAGCAATTTTATGGAGGTAACTTCAATGGTAGGAAACTAACTTGGCTACACCATTTATGTTCAGGTAAGACGCAAATATTTTGTTTATTACTAATACAGTTCCACTGGCACATGTCAAAGGTTATGCACAAACTATCTACACACCTGTGCATAGAATTTATATCAAGCACTCAACAAGATCAAGAACTGAAAAAGTTAAAAATGCTACGAATATAGTTGAAAAATTGACACCAAAAACATTCTATACATTTAGAAATTTTAAATGTGTGTGCAACTTTCATGGTTTTATAAAAAAATTGTAAAGATCTCTTTTCTATCAACAGGTGAATTAAAAGTAAATTGTTTAAAGAAGCCTTACATTGTCACCATGACAACCTTCCAAATGACCACGCTGTTAATGTTCAACACGTACACGAGTCTGCAGTTTCAAGAACTTACAGAGAACACACAAATGGCAGAGAAGGAACTCGCTAAAACCTTGCAATCTCTAGTGGAAGTCAAATTGCTGAAACAAGAACCACCGGTAGGGTGATTCAGAGAATCTGTTGCACAATGTTAAATTATGTTGGTTGTGCATGGCTAAAGTACAGCTTACCTAAATTTGTGGTAACACCTTGTAAGCACAAGTTACAATAGTGCACCATTTAGATGAAACATTTAAACTGTTGTCTTGTGCATAATTGGAAGTTGTTTGATACGGTGGAAATGCTTTGGTTTTCCCAACCTCAAGGTCATCGTTTCAATCCTTCACTGTGCATTCCGCTTGTGTCCTTAAGCAACACACTTTACCTACATTGCTTTAGTCTACCCAGCTGTATCAATGAGTACCAGTGAATTGCTGGGAGTAACAGTACCAGATTATCTTCATGAACATAAACATTTTATAGAATAAATGTTTATTTTGTTATATTTGAATCTCCTGTTGAATCTGGTGAGAATATACGACAAATTCAACTTTAAACTTTGTCAACAATTGTAATAACATAATTGACAAAGGGTGATGAAGTATAGTTAAATAAAACTAATTAAAGCTTAACACTTTCTTGATGAAAAACAATGCAAATCAATTTTAAATAAGTTGAGTAAATTAATTTAGACGAACAATAACGGAAGCAAGAGATAAACAAATAACAAATATTATAAACAATACTAATTATAAAATTGAAAATATACCTCATAATGTATGTAGAAAGACAACTTGTCTATAATACGATGATATATGTTTTTGTTTCTTTTTCAGTGAAAAAATGGAGTTTATTTTTAATGATACTATTCCTTTTTTTTCTATCCTAGTGTCAAATTACAGAAAAGACTGTATTTGAATTGAATATGGATTACTCAAACAAAAGAACAAAATTCAAGATATCCTCAGCTATGCAGAAAGAAACCACACAAGTAAGTGTGAAAAATTATCATTGTGCTTTAAGACCACAATAATGGACTGGCAACCACAAAAATATTCAATCGGTACATTAATATTTGAGGCATGTCATCCCTAATCCAGCGTACTGTAGCTATATGTTTAAACCAAAGATCTTACAAACACAAGATAGCGTTCTCCGCGGTTTACGCGTAACAAATAGAAGCGTCGGTCAAGGTTCAAAAGTTTCCAATTTAGCAAGAGGGCGTCATTCATGCGCTATTATACCAAAGAGAAAAAGTAAGCAGTTTTGAAAGAGGGCGTCCTATCTGTTGCCATGGATCTGAGATGGTTCCTGTTCTGCTGTATGGAAGGCAAACGCCGCCAAAAATACAATTACAAACACACAACGTACTAGCACAAACACACAACGTGTTAGCACAAACACGCAACGTACTAACTCAAACACACAACGTAGGCCAACACCGCCAAAAATACATTTACAAACACACAACGTACTAACTCAAGCCCACAACGTACTACGACGCAGGCCACAACCGCCAAAAATACAATAGGCATTTTTCGTTTTGACTACGCGGCCAGTCTACTACGAACTAATGGACCGTGACGGCAACGCCAAGACACTGTTCGCGTACTACATCAAGAGCTGTTTTCGTTTTTTTTAAGGCGACTACGACGACGCAGCACACGTACGTAGGCCTACGGAGGGGAGTTAGTCGACCATGGTTTTAATACCAGAGAACAATGTTCTCTTGTTTTATATTTGTTACCTCTAGTCTAAACCTGTCTCTTATACACATCTAGATGTGTTGTTTTTATCAGATCAATACAATTCAGCTTAAGGAAGGTGTGAATGGGATTTTTAAAATAAACTTGAAACTTGAACTTGAATGTTGTGGTCTGTCGGTTTAATACTAATATGTTCTTGTTTGCTAGGAGATTGAGCTGACTCACAGGTCTGTTGATGATGATCGGAAGTTGTACCTGCAAGCAGCTATTGTAAGAATAATGAAATCAAGGAAGTCATTAAAACACAACATTCTTATACAAGAAGTAAGTATTTGTTAGTGTTAAAAGTGGAGCTTTGTGTTAGAGGCCAATCTTTCAATCCCAAGGTCCTGGGTTCCTGTCAACAAGTCAAAATATTTCTCAGTATTTCACTCCCAAAACTTTAAGGGGGTTCTAAATGATCAGCTTTGATGAATGGATCACCCTTGGTGAATACAATGTAAACACTAGAGCAGTCACTCTAGAATGAGCATACCTCCACTCTGTGCCTTTATACAGAATAGTATGCAGGCGTGGATGGGCAATTCCATTATTTTCTTTTTTGCTTGAGGGTAAGTTCAAGAGGGAAAAAAATTATTTCTGTGTCCTTGTCCTTTGACCTTTTCTTCTCAAAAGTTTATCTCTTTCTTAGATTATAATGTGCCTTTCCACTAAATTTTAAGATGATCCATTTTGATTTTATGACAGTTGAATACATAACCTCATTTGGCAGAGGTAAAAATTGGTCATATAGTATTAAACATAAAAATAAGTAATTGATATAATCACATCATAAGCTTTGGAATTAAGTTCCTGTGTTCAGTAGAACTGGAGGGTGTTCATTTTGCCTGAAAAGTATCGTCTTTGCCTCTATGCTGTTTTGTTATTTATTGTATGCTTGTTTGACCAGGGGTTTAGAGGATACCTACATTTTGTGTTGGTCTCTCAGCCCATAGTGTCCTCTTGGCACCCCTCTGGCCATTTTCTGATTTAAAATTGTTGTGCCGAATATGTAATAAATAAATAATAAAATAAACATATGATGGAGAAAATTACCTCTAAACTGATAACTTTCTTGAAACACTTTTCATTGATGTAAATCAAATCTATCAAGAAATTTGCACTACATTCCATTTTCAAAAGTTTTTAAATTATCAGAATCTCAGACCCATCTGAATTTGTTGTCTTTCAGGTCATAAGTCAAGCCCGTGCGAGGTTTACCCCCAGTATCAGCATGATTAAAAAATCTATAGAAGCTTTAATAGACAAGCAGTATTTAGATCGTTCAGCAACGGCCGATGAATATGTATACCAAGCATAGATCCCATAGATGTATTATTTCTGAATAATTAGTAGAATGGAGGACTATGTTGATATGCTTCCCGAGAAGGCAGACCCTCTTCAGTTCTGGAGGAATGGTTTTTTAACAATGTAATTACAACTAGACTTTGAATCTTGGTAACCAATTCTTTTTTGAATGTATATTTCTTTACTAACACCAATAATATTTTTGTACCAAGAGTCATACCTGCAAGTATGTAAGGTTTACACAGCTATGAGAGTCTGAATTAAAGATATGATTAACAGATATAAGGGTCTAATTATCAGGGGTCCCTAGTTGGTAGAAGTCGTTTCCGGGAGATTTGAAGTGGCAGATCCAAGAATTTGAAATAGAGGGAGCCAGGGAGAGACTTCAACCTATAGAAGGTCTAGATCACTCAGTCCCACTATGGGTGTGGCTGAGGTAAGAAAATTTATGATTATGGCACATCTAGATGACTGGAAATAGCTCACTCAGACTTAAATTTGAATATGATTTTCTTTTTTTCTTTCCATTGTTTTTATTGTTTTGAAAAAATTTAGGGGGTGGAGGGAGGGGCAGCACCTTCCTCCTGGAATCCACCACTTATCTGGCTAATTAGCTTTCTTAAAACATTTTATTTTATTTTGCTGCACATTGTGATACCAATCAGCTGTGTCTTTCGTGAGACAAGTGATAATAAAGTTGTGAAAGCATACAAATATGAATTTGAGGGAGATGGATTATTTTTCGGGAGATTCTTGCTTGTTTGTGGGAGTGTGGGAGGCCTTCCCAATTTCCGTGAGGCTCCTGTGAGTGGTGGATCATGAAAAGAATAGAGTAGAAACAATACAAACTATGAGATGGAAGTTTTATGCTTTGCAATCTTAGGAAATCAATAACAAATACTGTGTACAGTTATTTCAATAAATGTAGAATTTTTTAGCCCATCCTATTCATATCTATCATACCGTATCTGCATCAGATTTGTAAGTAAATAAATTTACCAACAACAAAGAATTTGGACTGAGCAATTTTAAAGACTATGATATTAACATAGACATTCCAACCCCCTGATCATGGAGAAGTGGAGCCGTTTAGCAATAGGTATATATCGAAAGTTAATGGACAGGGGATAAATTTGCCATAACCCCACAGTTTATTCAGTAATTATAGATGGTTGCTTTAGAATTAAATAAATAATTTATTTGAAGATCTGATAATGAAGTTTATTGATCAATTTTTGTACAATTTAACCATTTTAGTGCTTTTAATTCAGAAACTGTCCAGGAAACTAACTGAACGTATCAAGATAATTTGTTTATAGATTTCTTTGTACTGTGGGCATACAAGGAGTCAGTGACAAAGCTTTGGCTGAGGACCTGCACAAAAAACAGAGGGGGTGTGGGGCATGGGTAACCTCTTTAAGGTTTTACAATTTTTTTGGGGGGGTGTGAGGTGGGGTGGTTAGATTTAACAAGGATTCACCTCCGTTAATTACATAAGAAAGTAAATGTTTGACACATGGCATGTGTACTGGGAGTGGCCTGCTTAAGGTCTGCCCAGACTCTAATTTTGTTCGACAAAATCATGTGACATGCCTAAATATGGTCATGATGACATCACATCATGACCATATAAGCACATCATGGCTATATATGGGCATACTTTTTTGTCTTTTTTTTAGTCTACACGGATCTAAAAGGTAGAAATGCTTGATTACTGGGAAATAAAGGCATTTTAAAGGTAGACCTATTTATTTTGAGTGCAGGAAATAAAATGAGTGCATACTTACCCAGATATATATAGACTAGCATTTTTTTGTATACATCAGAGATCTCATAACAAGAAAATAGCACACACTTCAATTTCTGTGTACAAATACTGTAATATTAATAGGGCGCCCTCTTGCAAACACAAGTACTTTTCAACTTTGCAGATCTTATAAACTAAAGATTGTACACTTTTCGATTCTGGGTTCGTATGCACACTTATTATCTAGGATGACCTCTTTCAAGAACAATTATTTTGAGCAAGATCTTGTAAACCTTGCATGTAATCCTGTTGAGTGTGCTATTTTCTTGTTTCTTTGGTATACAGTAATATTGTTCTCACATAATATGTGAGAACAATTAAATGAATTGTGGTGCATTTGCTTAGGGCTTATGATGTCTCCATAATGCGTTCATACTTCTGAAAAGTATAGTACAAATTATAGGCCTGTATATAAAGGTCTATCTAAAAGAGAGAGATTAAAGTGCATATAAGTTCGATCTTCCATTATCACAGCAAGTTATTTTAAATAAATGCCTTAATCTTTCTTGCAAATGTACTAGAAAAACTAACATGTGTTGTTGGGCATGCATGAAATCTGTGAAGTCTGTTGCAGATGCCATTGTATACCAGGGATTTGACACGAGCATAAATTTGTTAAAATATGGGGACATTTGGGGATTAGACTTGATTGTGAGGGAAAACTTGAAAACCAACAGTTGGAATATATTAGCATTGATAATATAATGAAAGTAATTTTACCATAAAACTATTAAATTTAACTCTCTGTAAAACATGAGATCAGAATTCGGGGCCCAGACAAGGTTGTTTGTAGTGCGGCCTCAATTTTTGTATTTGTTGCCTGAAACAATATGTATGCACAAACGAAGGTGTGATGAATTCGTTATCGTTCTTGTATTGTTTCATGACCTCTTTCATATAATATAAATAATAATTAAATTAATACTACTACAGTATTGATCAAGCTATTGATCTCGGAATATTACTATTTTCGTTCAGCTTGTTTCCTTGAATGTTAGTTTTAATTAAAGCATGTTCCATTCAAAAGATCATTTGCAAATGTTGTCCTTGCTCTATTCGTCCTGGCTTCATGACCATAGAGACAAAGCAAACTATGGAATGCAAAAGAAAAATGTATAACATTTCATATCAATATAGGTTATTTGAAATTTTTGCAATATTAAATAGCATTTCTTTCAATAATAGAAGCGTTGTATTGTTGAAATGTTGATTGTGATTTCTTTTCTGGGTCAAATTCTCATGCAAAAAAAAAAATTAAAATTAATGATTCTACTGAAATAGAAACTATACAGATGGAAATATTGCTTGATTTCACATAAGGATATTTCAATACAGTATTATATATTCTAGTACCTGTGCAGCTTTTTGAATGTAGTCCACTTTAGTTATTTCACTGCCAGCAATATCACCTCTTACTAGGCTTATTCATACCGAGTTCAGCGAAATCTTAACCAGCAAGATCGCAATTAATCGAACTACAGCTGTACTTTTTTTGATAGAAATTTTAACTGTATTTTCTGTTTAACAATTTAGTGGTTTGCATACGGTACTACAACAATGAAGATAATTTGTCACACAACTTGACATAGGCCTAATTCCACTTTTTTTTAGTAATTACTGTAACAAATACTTGCGCTGTTGGTAATCGAAATGGTGCCCTAAAGAACAAAGAATCTGCTGAATCTTCCGTTTTTGTTTCTTTAGCCCCATGGGGGCTGTAGACAATTTGCTACTATCGTCTCACTTGTAAGTTGTAACAGTAAATCCGGTTTTCAGGAATAATGGGAAGCGATAAAATGTCTTCCAACAGAAGGCTACGAAATGATGATGCCCATGCCTAGATAGGCCCTGTCTCTTATACACATCTAGATGTGTATAAGAGACAGGCTTATTCGAGAGCGGCCCTTTTCAATGATGCCTATAAAGTGAACCATTGCAACATTGAGGTATAATGCACTGAGAATGGCCTCGTCAGAATACTCAGTGACATAGTTGTCATGGATCAAAAGCAAACAGTTACACCTGTGATGTTTGACTTACCGGCTGCTTTTGACGCCGTTGATCACCAAATACTTTATTAATCGTCTTCATTTTTGCTTTGGCATTTCCAATCTTGCTTTAAACTGGCTCATTTCATACCTCAATAACCGCTTTCAATTCTTTTAAATTAACGGTGTAAGGTCCACTCCTAAAGTCACTGAATGTGGTGTTCCCCAAAGAATCCATTCTTGGCCCCATTTTTTTTTTGTTACATTGCCCCACTGTCCTAAATTATTAAAAAAACATAACATCTATCATTTCTGAGCTGACGATATTCAACTTTACATTCCATTTCATCCATTTACTTCGCTGTTCAACGTCTTGAATATTGACTTAGAGATATCCAATCTTGGCTCTCAAACAAATCTTCTAAAACTTAACGAAAACAAATCTGAGTTCATTATTTTCTGCACTAATCACATCCGTAGTAAAATAACCCCTCTTTCTCTCTCACCGTTGGTTCATCATTAATTCATCCCTCTCACCACATTTCTATCCTCGGAGTCAAACTGGATGAATCACTTATGCAGAACCACATCAGCTATATAACTAAATCGGTCAACTTCTATTTTCGTATAATGTTGCACTCATTTGACGCTTGCTTTCTCGGCGCACTGCTCCTTCCATTATTCATGCTTTTTTTTCTCATCCCGTCTTGATACTGCAATTCTCTTTTTTCTTTACGCATTTCCTAAATCTCAAATTTACGGACTCCAGAGGCTTCTAAACTCTGCTTCACAAATTATAAATTCACAAAACGTCGATCTCACATCACCCCCTGTTCTCAGAGACCTCCATTGGCTTCCCATTGATTCCGACATTAAGTTAAAAATCGTGCTACTTACCTTTAAAGCACTTCTCTTTAAGCAACCTATTCATCAGCTTACCCACACTTATGTTCCTGGACGACACCCTAAGATCTCCATGCTATGATCATCTGATAATTGTTTGCTTTCCGTTCCCCGCACATCCTTAAAAACTATTGGCTATAAATCTTTTTCCTTTGCCGCACCTACACTTTGCACACATTAAAAACTGTTCTTCTGTTGCTTCATTTAAAAGAAAATTACTTCAAAATCAACTTTTCCATCATTAACGTGCACATTGCCTATGATAATGCTCCTTGGTCGTTTGACGCTTTATAAATTCTTATATTATTTTTTTTATTCCAGCATGGCACCTGTAGAAAAACGAATTATTTTAAAAGTTCTTTCTTTTAACCTACAATGCCCTTAGGGCAAAACACCAAATAACTTGTAGTTAGTGCACCATTATTATGAAACAAGCTCCCAATATTAATTAAGGAGGCAGTGTCCTTGAAAATGTTTAAGGACTACCTAAAAGCACCTCTTTAATATTTAATTCATTTTTTTTTATTTGTTTATTTTTGTGTGTAATTGCGCTCTGAAAGATTATTATAGGGCGCTATATTAAAGAGCTAAAATTATTATTATCATTATCATTATTATTATTATTATTATTATTATTATTATTACTATTATTATTATCATTATTATGTGGATGTAAATAATAATGCATAGGACGCCTGTAAGTACCATCACATTGTGTATATCACTGTAAGATCATGTTCATAGGCCTTGTGTTCCACAAGATTTAAAACGTAGGATAGGCGCATATCTCTCAAAAAATCCCTCGTGTGAAAACTGACATTCTCTCATGAGTACACTCAGAACATGATTAGCACACACACTGAATTTGTGTCTACTGCCCAAGTAAAGGGCGGGGGTGTAGTATGGACACTTTGTTGTCTGGATTACAGTAAGTTATCAATTGAATTGGCAACTCAGAAAGCTTTATGTAAGACCTGTCCTAGAAACTAACAAGTCACAACAATCTGGTATGTATACTTGTGAATTGCCCAACACAGAAAGCATGGATGAGTTTGACACTGCACTGTCAAGCAATAGAGACACGCTCCCGCTGGGCCTATTTTTCTTCAGGCAGTAACTTTTGGGTGTCTTTAAAACGAAGACCGAAGACCCAAAAACGAAGACCCCTATTTTTTCTCTTTTATTTTGATGATAATACGCCAGGCTCTCACAAAATCCAAATTACGAATTTTTTTGGCGTCTGTTTGTGAAATTTTCAAGGGTCTTCGTTTTATAGACACCCTATATAGGTGTCTACAAAACGAAGACCGAAGACCCGAAAAACGAAGACCTCCAGTTATTTCTCAATTATCTTACTGAAAGTATTTCAAAATCATCATAAAACAGGTGCCAAGTACCTATTTAATTATTTTATCGGAATAAAATGAGGAATATCAAGAAATACTTAACCGGGTCTTCGTTTTATAGACACTGGGTGTCTACAAAACCAAGACCGAAGACCAGAAAAACGAAGACCCACATTTTTTTTCTTTCAATCGTGATGAAAATAATGTTTTTAAATCACTTCATGCTATATATATTATTCGTCTTTTTTTAGCACATTGTTGCCTGAATCTGAGTCAATTGAATGATTTACCCTAGTATTCCGGTTCTGAAAGCGGCAACCAATGTTGTACGTCCACGGCTGGTGGCTGAGCGCGTCTTGGCGCCGCTACCCTCTAAGAAAGTATGGCTTGGCCTAGCGGTACGCGTATTTTGGGGGCCTAAAAAAACCCTGAATATTTTTCATTCATAAACTTGTTCCATGTTAAAATAAACACATGCGGTATAGTGACGCATATGTGCAGCATCGGTCATTTGGTAGTGACACCAACATAGGATGGACGAGATAATTAAGGGTCTTCGTTTTATAGACACCCTATATGGGTGTCTACAAAACGAAGACCCGAAAAACGAAGACCCACATTTTTATTCTCCCAATCGTGATAAAATAATGAAATGTACTTGGCAACTGTTTTATGATGATTTTGAAATACTTTCAGTAAGATAATTGAGAAATAATTGGAGGTCTTCGTTATTCGGGTCTTCGGTCTTCGTTTTGTAGACACCCATATAAAAATTTTCGTAATTTTGATTTTATGACAGCCTGGCTTATTATCTTCAAAAAGAAAGAGAAAAAATACGGTAGGGGTCTTCGGTCTTTCGTTTTATAGACATAGGCCTAACAGACGTAACTTTTTCACTTTTTTGGCTATGGACAGTAGTGGCGCCAGGATTTCCCCGACCGGGGGTGGGGGAGGCGCCGTTGTCCCCAATGAGAAAAAAAAATGGCGTGATCGGGCGTCGCTGAGAAAAACCCTTCGAAAGTGGTCCAGGGGAAAAGGCCCCGAAAATATGACAATTTAGGGGTTTCAAATGCTTATTTAAGTGATTATAGAGTCTCTTAATAATGTAAAAAATACATATAATTTTTCCCCAGACCCAACGAATTGTAGTTTTTCTCCCCGACAAGGTGGGGGTGGGGGGAGTGTGCAAGGTCTCCTGGGCGGACCGTCTTCCGCCATTGAATCCGCACTGCCCGCCCCCAGACGTTTGCAGCCGGAGTGGGGGATGATACTCATAGATGGTTCTGGTTCTTGTGGGTAAAGATCCACCTCCAAAGGACTCCAAAAGTGTAGGAGCATGCAGTAGGAGTAAACAGGAGGGTAGAAATAGTGTCGAATGACAGGCAAGGTCCACCACACCGCAGTTGAAGACGCACAGCGTCAGTAATTAGCAGGCTTGCCTTACCAGCCTCTCTAGGCTGCATTGGACCTGATGTGTAGTAAACTCTCAATCACACTAACATTGGCTTTGCGAAGAAAACCACATTTGGTAGTGAAATCTCGTAGCGTTTAGAGGTAGAGTAAGCGAATTATACTTCCAAGAAAGGAGGCGAGAAAATTAGTATGTTAGAGCATGGAGGTATAATGGTTAGAGAACAGGTTAAAATACAACAGCCTAAATTAATGAACGTTAAATGGTGTATCCGCCGTGGTAATAAAATGATTTTTTTTTTCCATTGAATTTTCTTAATCCCTTCTGTCTTTGAAAAATCCCCCATCCCTCCCCCACCC